ATTGTGCAAACTCAAACTTAGAATTCAAGAACATAGCATGTATGAATTTATCTTGGCTTCAAAGCTTTCAATACGTGAGTTATTGAGGTAATTTGGTATGAAACTTCATGAATTCTCAAAACAAAGGCAAGATGAACACATGCATGTGGAAATTCTTTGAAATCAAACTCAAAACTTCATGAATTATGTATACATGTAATGACTCTTCCCAAATTTCTTAATCTAAGCTCAATTCTCATGTTTAGCCATCTTAATTTCTTGAACTCTTTTTCACATGTTTAGAATGCAAAGTTTAGGGACAAGATTCTTACCTAGAGTCTTAAATTCACAAGTGTAGAAGCTTAAACTCCCAAATTCTCCAACTCCTAGCAATTCCCTTAACTTGAGTTTAATTCCTTTCCAAAATGACTCTAAGCTCACTCTTCTCACTCACTGTCATGTTTGGAGCTCAAAGAGGATGAAATAAAGGTGCAAAATGAACTCATGGAGTCAAATTAGCCTTATATAGGCTCAATTAATGAAACTTAATTAAACTTGACTTAGGTTAATCAAATTGACATTAATTATACTAATTTAATTCGTTCTGAATCATATTTCAATTCAACCTACCATAAAATTCTAAGAATACCAAATAACACATAACTGTAGTCAATTTTGTGATCGAATACCGATAAAGTCTTCAATTCGTAGGACAAAACAGAAACACAAACAGATATACAACAGACAGATATAAATACAAATACCATATAGTTCATACAATAATCACATGATTTTATCTTAATTACTTCTTATGAATATTTAATCATGGATTAATAGTTAATCACGAGTCGGGGTTGTTACAGCTTCCATCAGTAATGTCTCAAAGGTGGTCTCAAAAGGAGGAGGGGATGAAGTTGTGATTGGACTTGATTCGACCTGAATGGACAGACCAAGGTTAATAAGTTGTAGAAAATAGTTATTTGTTGTAGCAAGTCAAGAAAAGTTACCTCCATAAGAAGGAGCCCTGTTTGGGAAGAAATTGTTGATTTGGCTCATTGAGGAGGACTATGAAGTGGAGTTATTTGCACACCCATTTCAGCAATGGTAGGAGTATGGGATGTACCTCTAACCAGTCAAAATTCAAAGTTTAGCCATGTGAAGTTCTAATCACGGATGTAACTTGTTTTGAGAAGATTTACCTCCTGGTGAGGATTAGCAAAAGGAGTCACTGACTCTACCAAGCCAGTAACATCAATGGCAATGGTGGATGGTAATGTTGTAGTTTCTAAAGAAAGAAATGTTGAGTCTTTGTTTGTCTCAACAGTAGCAGAAGGAAGAATTATAGGCCTAGGTGATGGTAAGGAAGATGCCAAGAATGGGTCAATAGAAGGAATTGTGTGATTTTGCAAGGCATCATTTGGAGAAGGTATAGGCATAGATTGTGAAAGGCCAGAAGTGGAAGCATGGCATTGTGTTTGGGTCTAGTTCATCCTAGGAGAAGTCATATGGATAGGTTGTTGATTCTCTGGAGAATTGGTTTCCAGATCAACAGAGGTTTCTCTAAGTTGATATTCTCTGGTTGGAGGTGCATTGTCTTTCTTATCACTCTCTGACTCACCCATAATGTCTTTTATTATTGGGAAGTCAAAGATTTCATTTGAGCCTGGGGCAGCACCTCTACCAGGGAAAGCAAGGAGATCCCCAAGAGCTATGCTAAGAGGGATCCCAGCCTCAGCAAATAAAGGACCAAGAGGAGATGGTAGTTTCTCCTTGGCAAGCTAGGAAGATGATTTGGCCTGGACTTCTTGGTCATCTGAGCTGATGGAAGGGTAAATGAGCCTTTTCTTTTTCTCTATCAAGGCAGAGAGATGATAGTTAAAATTTAATAGTTTAATGTCTAGTTAAGAAAATTTGGAAATGTCAAGAAGAGTTGAGGTAAGAAACCTGGTATTGTACTTCAGAAGTCCTCACAGGACTCTAATTTGTAGGTTTTTGAGCTGAGGAGCCAAAGATTTGGCCAATAGGCATGTCCTAATCTGAAGAAGATGATGAGGAAGTTAGGTTGGCAGCAATTTGAGTTGGCTCAGATATGGACACTGGAGGAAGAGCTGTGAAATTGTCTCTTTCTTGGATTTTGGCAAGAGATTCATCCATGGGGCTCTTTTTAGCTTTCTTGGCATAACTTATTTTTTCTTTGCCCTTGGAGTCTGGTTTCGCAGTGGCCAAAGGCTCCAGAACCAATGGGGAGGGGCCTGTAGAAATGAAACATTAACAAAACAAAAGAAAGAAAGAGCATTTGAAGGAAATAGATGATCAAATTAGCTGAAAAACTGACCTATAACTCTTTCCACTCCTTTTCTGTTGTCAAGATGGAGATCCCCAAAGGCAGGCAGCCAAATCTTTATGGAAAATGATAGCATTCATGAGAAACCACCAATTTTGGAATTTTTTGAAGGGATATGGGTAAATGTTACAGAAGTAGAAGCTGAAGTGATCAAATAATTCTTGATTGGTGATAAGGATGAGTTCAACATCCCTTTACTTTAAATTGATTTCTTAATTCCACATATTCAAGAATAGTGGGATGAAAGTAAGGGCAAGGTAAGACTTAAATTAACCCAAATTGCCTAGCCCATTGACATGGGTTATAACTTTCAAAACTGTAATTTAATAGTCTATTGTTGGCAATTGAACCCCTAACTAAAATATACCTAGAAGTGAGAACTTAAGCCCAAAAAGATTTTGTTTGTTTTTCCATGTATCATCCAAAGTTGGAGGGTCAGCATGAATGTATGTGAGAGTGGAGGATCTAAAGTGGAAATCATGAAAACGTATAAATAAAGCTGTCTCTCTATCGATAAGGAGTCCATAGAAAAGAGAAAAGACTCTAGTGAACGACGTGTCAGTTGAGGGTCAAAAAGAGAGAAAATGTTTAGCATAATACCCACAAGGAGAAGAGTACGGTATGTGTTTGGAAGGCCTGACTTCAAGAAAGTATGCATAAAGCTAGGCCTGAAAGAGCCAAAAAGGACCACCACAGTTGACATCTATTTCTTTGGTGGCTAAGGTAAAAAGGCCTCTATATAATGTGGCTAGCAAAAATGGAGCAAAAGCTAGTTCAGTGCCTTCTTGAATACAAATAGCAAGAGGCAAGTATTCCCTAATAACCTTAAAACCAGAGATATAGAAAAAGAATTGGTTCAACTACAAAAGGTAAAAGGCTATCCTTTCTTCATCAGTGGGTTCCAAAGCAATTTTTTGGTATTTCTACATAAAACTCCCATAGCTAATATTAGTAACAATATTGAAGTTAGCTTTTTGAGGAGTCAAAAAGGCACTAATTTGTTGGCCACCCACCGGGAGGCCAGTTAGATGTACAACATCTAAAATAGTAGGGGAGAGCATACCAAATTTCTGCAGCAAGGAATTACAGGAAGTAGACCAAAAGCAGGTGGCAGCACTGATTGTCCATTTGTCCATATCAAAGGCAAAGGTTAATAAACATATAACATCATAGATACCAAGGGCTGGCCAGAGGTCCAAGTCGCACCTCATGATTCTATTAACCCAAAGCTTCCAATCTGCACTAGGTTTTATCCATGATAGCAGAGGGTTGCGGCTAGTTTCCCATTGGTGCCAAGTTAGCTTGACCCTATCGAGCAACAAAGTTCCTGTCTGAGCAATGGAGAAATAGGGGGCCACTTTATCATGAATAGTATTAGGGATAAAGGTTGGTCCTAATTCCTTTTTAGCAGAGGAGTCCACAGGATTTATGCAACTATCAAATTTGTTAGCTTGAATCTTCTTCCTAATCTCAAATGGAAAACGAAGTACTATTTGAGGTACTAAAGTCTCTAGTTGTTTGGCTTTTGATTTCTTGGATGCCATTGTTAGGGTTTGTTTTGCAGAGATTAAAAGGATGCAAGAGATGGTGCAAGAAATGAAAAAGCAGGAGGAGTGCTTAGATTCAAATTCTAAAGTGTATATTATATGGGTATCTCTGCATTAGGCTACACTAAGTTTTTAGGCTAAGGCCCAATTATCTTGATAAATGGATCATATTAATATTGAGTCCATTTTTAAAATATAAAAAAAGTATTCATTCGAGAGAAAACCCGTTATTCCTGAATGAGGGGGGCATTGTTGACACCAAAAAATTAAAAATTCTCTGTCGACAAAGGCTCGAACACATTCAGAAGAAGGTCAAGAATGAAGGAAGTAAAGTTAGTGGCCTAAGAAAGATGAATGAGGAGGCAATACATGGCAATAGCCCAAAAAAGGGAGTTCAAAGGCAGTTGCAGCAGCTGCAGTTCATGGGCAGTTGCAGCAGCATGACAAATGGGCATGTGACAGCACAACATGGCCATTGAAAGTCATATAAAAGGTGGAAGTTCAAAGAGAAAAAGGGCTTCAACAAAATTCACAATTCATGTGGAATTAGGAGTAACATAACTTAATTAGGAGTAGCTCTTGTACTTAGGAATAGTTTGCTTCTAATTCAGTCTGTACTTTGTTTGTAATTCAGTCTTTGTAGTGAAGTTTTTCTCTGTCGATTGTTGTGCATTTTGAACTTATAATTTAATTCTTGTAATTAAGTGGCAAGTTTAATTGTTATTTAATCAAATTTCAATTTATTTGCATTTGTTTCTTCGCGTTATAATCTCCAAAGAAGTCATTGAAACTGTCAAGGCATAAAACACCAGCCACAATTGTCTGATCTGTTGTTGTTTTGTGAAAATTTGGGTTGCGTTTGGTAGAATTTTAGAATTATGATTTGAAAATAGAGTTGTATTTTGAATTTGTGAGTTTTGAAATTATGATTTGAGTGTGAAAAATTTGTTTGGTTATGAGTTTTAAAAAGAGTTTTGAATTGAGTGATGTGACACATAATATTTGATTCAAAAATTTCCAACTCATAACTAAACACACAACTCAAAATTCTATTGAAAGCTTATAAAAAAAATTTAAAAATATTCAAAAATATTTTTTATTTAAAATATTAAAATAATAGGTGCCAAAAAAAAAAAACACGAACACTGTTCTTATCAACCGGCCAGATGTCTGGGAGGATGACCGGGTAGATGTGTTTTCACATATGGGTGTGAAATCAATTTTTGAAAACTGTAACCAAACACATGGCTCAAACCAAGGGGTGGAATTGAGTTTGGAAAGCTTAACCAAACAGAGCCTTAGTTTCTCTGTCAATTTGACCAAAACTACATTTTTGCTAACACACGGCTAAGAGGACTTGGATCAATTGTAGCATAACTTAGGAGCTCTGTATCAGATTGGAGTATGTCCATCACTTGCTCATCCAAAAAGGCCCATGCTTCTATTCCATCTCCACTTTTGGTTTCAACCAGAATTACTATATTTAAGAACACTGGTCTTGATTCCTCCAATCCAACTGGAGATATCCACATAGGCTTTCCCCATCCAAAATCAACTTCATAAAGCCCAAAATTCACCAAACTGGTTATAGCCAAACAATCAGCTTCCTTTCCAAGTGTTTTGCTCATCCCCTTCACAGTCTCACAATAATTGACAAACCCTTCTTCACCCTGTAGTTCTTTCACCAATTCAGCATCAACTTCGGCTATCGCTTCCTTCACGTGACCCACCAATCGATCCAACTCCGTTTCAGTCTCGTCTTTGCATTCTGCGACCGCCAACCATAGAAAATTTCCCATGCAAGACTCTGGAAAGGGTGGCAGAGCTCTCTTGCGCATGTTCACTGCTTGGGTCATGAAAGATGGCTTGTAGGCACCAGTTTTCGCTTTAGAAGCAGCCATGAAACATTTCCAGAAAAGAGATGACACGGCTTGAACACGACTTGTGGATGCTTTGGCCTTGAGTGTGGCCAGAGCAGAGGCATCAAATGTGAACCTCTTTGTAACACAATTGCCCTTCCTGACAAAGCGGCTTAACATGGCCATGAGGGTCAATTCTTGTGTCACAGATTCATTTTGAAGGAAAAGTAATGGTGCAATGTAACTTGGACATGGTACTGATTCAAAAGACCCGCGAGCAATGGCAGCCCAGCTCTTGAAAAAGTTGCTCATGGCTGTTCCATCGGTGGCCAAGTGTGAGAAGAACGCGCCAATGGCGAATCCACCGCAGTCGAATATGTTTACTTGGAACATGATTACATGGAACCCTGAAGTTGGTCCATTTGGACTCCAAATGGGCTCACGGGGAAGCAATTGACCAATGGATGGGCAATGAGGTTGGGTGAGAAAGTCGGATAAATTACATTTGACTCTGGCCTCCGCATAGAAAACTCCATCGTCGTTGCAATCAATGGTGAGAGCGTCTTTGATCCTCCCCGCAAGCGGGTAATAGCGGGTTAAGACTTGTGACAAGGACTTCTTCAACAATTGAGAGATGACACAAACACGAACACCAACACGATCATTATTGTCATTGTCGAGCATAGGATAGAAGAGGGTTATCGGGGCATGGTTTGGCGGAGCAAACTGATCCAGAAGAGAGAGCTTGTAGGTTCTCAAGTGAGGAGGAGTTGGAGAAGAAGGTTTGATGGTTTCACGGGAAATGATCTCAACCTCTATCATGCTCATTGCTTTTGCTTTGCTTTGATTTTGGTTAATTAGTTTCCTTCAAATAGTAGTGGTAGCAAATTATTCAGCTTTGCCTTGGGGGGTTATTAGTTTAATTAATGTCATACTCATGAGCATAGTGTATTCCGTCAATAGCTAGATCTAGATTATTTCTGTTTGTCTTGTCTAGTTTTGATGGTTCCAAGGTTTCTTCCTCTTCAATAGAAAAACTTCTTCACGGCACAACGGCATAGCTGTGAATGATTTGATTTGTGATTTTTCCATATGACACTATAAAATAAAAAAATGTAATTTATTGTAAATAAAATCTATAGTGTAGCATAAGTCAAAATTATGTGTAATCTCTTTGTATATATTTAAATGTCAATAAGAAAAGTGTTCTAAACTAACATACAATTTCAGTAAAGTAGGTTTTGTCCAAGGGTATTAGCAGAAATAAAATTTGTAAGCATGTTATATTACACATTATTAATTTTATTTTAAAAATATAATTATCATTAATTATAATGTAATTAATTTAAAATGTACTAAGTCTAAATGAATAATGCTGTACAAATAAAATTTATATACAAAATAACGTGACTGCATATCACTTCAAAATAAAAATCTCATCAAAATTATTATTAATTATAAATATATCACAACCATAACATTCCAACAAAAGATTGTATATAAATTTTTTGAAAGAGTAATTTTTTTCAATCTAACATTCATTATTTGGCAACTGGACCAATTAATTATTTAAAACTCCAAACCAAAACAGAAGGAATATTGCAAAAAAAAAAAAATTCATATGGGCCGGCTCCAAAATGGATTCATGTAGGCCTAATCCTTCAAACAAAACACAGTGATCAGACTAAGATGATTGTGGGTGATGAAGATGAACGGTCACGTTTTCTGGTTAGGGTTAGGGTTTCAGAGGCTATGGAGTTGAACGGAAGAGAGATGGAGGACTGAGGAGTCGATTTCGAGCGGCGGAGACGTGACAGTGTAGTGATCGGACTGAGATGATGGGGAAGTGGGAGAAGGTTGCGCGCGTGTAAATTGGATGATATATTATGGATATTTTCGTCTTATTATTAATTTGAGGATTTAATGGAGTATTAAATTTGTTTTGGGACTAAACGGGTTACGATACGTTGGGCTTGGACTTTGGGTCAGACTCCCAAAAAAAAACAAAAAAACAAAAAAATCTTCCAGGTTTTCAGAGATTTGCTTGACTGAGAGGGTTATGCAGATTCGCAGCTCCGGTAAAGCGGTTGGTTTCCGTATCTGACCAAGCGGTGTTCGTCTCCGTCGAGAACCAGCAATGGCGGATGAACCGTTTCTCTCTCCATTCCAATCAAATCTCACTCTTTTCTTCGACCAAAACCCCTAAACCCTAACCTTTATTTCTCCATCGAGCAAGCCCCAAAGCATGCACAGGTAGTCTCTGTTGGTCTGTACAATTTACATACAAATCTCCATGTATGGAGGGCACTTACTTCACATTCTTCTTTTTCTATTCGTTGCACAGATTAACGATCCGTCTCTGCTCAATTTCACGATCGTATTGGAAATTGAAAGAATCTCAATATGTAATTCTTCTTCCCTCTTTCATCTTGATTTTGTTTTTGAAAGAAATAGGAATTCATGTCTGTGGAATGATGGAAAAGCAAAGAAAATTAGCCACTTCTAAGCATTTTATATCACTTCTTTCTTTCAATTTGTGCAATAACCAAGCAAAGTCTAATAATTTTATGTTATTGCGTAGGGAATTGCTGGCAGAGTGGAAACATTGCAAACCTACACAGCTTTAAGTGGTATTACTCATCTATAATTGCTCTGACACATGATCACTTGGGTGCATTTGTTTGTCTAATGCTGTGTTCTCTCTCTCCCCCCGGTACTGATTCAAAAGACCAAACACATTTCCCTTTCTTTTTCCTTTTCCTTTTCCTATCACTAATCCAAGATCCAAACACAGCCTAAAGAACACGGATGGAGGATTGTTAAGTGTATTGATCTTTCTCTTGTCTTGAATGCCATTCGTTATATGCAAGAAATCTTGAGAGTGTCAGGTTTTCATTTGCAGGTCATGGTTCTTTAAGGTATGGGGCGGAACCAATTTTGAGGTCTGTGCAGATGCAAATTGTTAATGCACTTCGATTGGGTGCAAGAAGTGTAGCTTCTAGTCTGCTATCAGATATTGGCCACAGAAACCACTCATTGACAGCCAGTGATTTTATTTATATTCTTGAGTATTGTGCACGATCGCCAGATCCACTGGTAGGCTCTAAAATGAGTTTGTTCTCCTGAGGCTATTATGTTGCTTATGTTATCCGTGCTTGAGACATACAGATTTTGGACTAGAGGATAACTAGTGGACTTGTTCATACTTTAAAACAGTGCATTCTTGACTGTATTTTTGTTTTGCTCTCTAACATATAAGTTAACTATATTAGAGTAGAACACATATAGGAGGCAGATTCAAACCACATTAAACATGGTATATTGGTTTATCTTAGGCATACTGTTTGTCACTTTAATTGGAAGAGATCAAAATTTAAACTTTGCATTGTAATATGCAATCAATGCAAGTTCATTTTGACCGTCTGCATAGAATCATTGCGTAGTGTCACGAAAATAAGTTAACTTGATAAATGCATTTACTAAAGAGTAACTTACAGGTGAGGCCTTCGCATTTGCCTCATTTACACTGACAACTGAGGCCTCCTCCACTTTGTGTTGGGTAGAGATTACTCACACTCCCTATGTTGAATGATTCTTGGGTGGAATAGTCATGGAAGATATTCCTTTTGTCTGCAGTTTGGCATGGAAACTTGGAGAATTATGGGTGAGAAAGATGTTTATTTGGACGAGAAGTGCTACCTTCTTATTATTCGAGCTCTTTGTAAAGGGGGTTACCTAGACGAGGTATGATGGTCTTCTACATATTTTGACCATATTTTCACAGTCACTTTTTGGTTAATTTTTTCTGTTCAGTAAGTGAAAAAAATTTCATGTTATCAATTATACATCAGTATGTATAAGTAATAGCTTGTTAATGTGATTCATTATCTTAGCAAGGCCACTGAATTCTTGTCATGAAAATGATGCAAAATAAGGCTGCTTGTGTTTTAAATGGTTGAGATTCCATCAATAATTAAAACATATCTAACTAGCACTAGTATTGCTGCTTTGAACTACCAGTAAAACTTCTATTTGTTTCTTCTTCTTCTACTCTTTTTTTTTTTTACAAGTAAAAATGTCTGTTTGTTTCTGCTCCTGTCTTTATTTTACCTTTTTCTTTTTTCCCTTCTTTGGTTGGAATTTACTTAACATGTCTATGTGTTTCTACAATACTTTGTTCAGGCATTCAATTTGATGAACATTCTTGGAGAAAACCATGACTTCCATCCTATTTTGCTTATGTACAATAATTTCTTGGGAGGTTGTGCAAGAATACATAGTGTAAATCATGCCAATGAATGTTTGGATTTGATGGAGCGCCGAATGGTGGGGAAGAATGAAATAACATATACAGAGCTTCTCAAGGTTAGACAATTAAGAGTGTTAAAAAAAATTTCTTAATCTATCTTAGATGGCTAGAAACCAAATTGTTAGTACGGTTTTCAGCAGTTAATGTCTGCATCTTTTTTCCCCCTCCTTGGTTTGGTTTTTCTCATGGAATTTGTGATTATAAAAGTATAAATGTAATCATAGTTTATACTGGTGCATCCTTGCTCTTGTGGTGTATGTTTCATATTATGTGTGTTTTAACACTTCTCATTCCATGCTGAACTGTTTGCAATTGATTGAGTGATCAATCTTTGTTGTGGCTGTGATCTGATTTTGTCAAGTAACATACATGGACCTAACGAAGTTGTAAAACCTTTTCTTTTTCTTTTTTTTTCTTTTTTTTTTTTTTTGTATGTATGTATCAAATTGATTACTATTCTAAATTTATCCTTTCAGCTTGCAGTTTTGGAGCAAAATTTATCTGCAGTCCATGAAATTTGGAAGGAGTATATAAAATATTATAGTCTCAGCATTATTTCTCTTCGAAAGTTTGTATGGTCCTTTACAAGGTTGAGAGACTTGGAAGCTGCATATGAGTCCTTACAACACATGGTGGATTTGGCTTTTCGGGGATGCTTCATTATTTGTAAAACAGCTGAAGGAAAGTTGTTCACTTCAAGATTGGACATTCCTATACCTTCAAGCTGTGAGTTGGGCCTGCACAGATGTAGCAAGGAGAATGAAGATTCTGAACTTTCTGGTTTTGTGAACGGTAAGAAAATGGAGACTTTTGTTAGTAACCATGAGCAAGTCAGTACTTTCTTCACAGGAAGGAATGAAGTTGATAATGCTGGGCTAAGTGTGCTGAGAAAACATAACAGTGCGTTTGTTATGAAGGTCTTGAGGTGGTCTTTCAATGATGTGATACATGCTTGTGCACAAACTCTAAATTGTAGGTTGGCAGAGCAATTAATTTTACAGGTAGCATAACTTTATTATGTGCATTTGCAATTGTTTTATGTTGCTGTTATATTTATTAATCTTACGCGGGGATTTTAATTGATATTTATTTTAAAAGCTAAAACTTGTAGTCAGGTTAAACCCACTGAATATTCTCATATTTTAGTGAAGAATTTGTTTTCCTTCAGTCTTTAGATATTTTTGTATAATTTTTTTCCCTCCAATTTTTCATAATGTTATGAGCCTTTCCTATTAGTGAATAGCTGTGTACTGTTGAACTTAATCACCTTCTTGTTATTTACTGACTTTTAGGGGTCTATTTTGTTTAGATGTGGAATCTGGGTATGGAACCATCATGCAGTACATATGATGGCTTCATAAGAGCAGTTGTTTTTGAAAGAGGTTTCCATGATGGCATTGAACTTGTAAGATATACTGCTCCATTCAGCAACTGTGTGCAGTTTCTTTTTTCTTTGTCTTTTTTATTGTTTACAATTCACTGATCTTGTTTGAGTTCTTTTTAACTATTCCCACTAGAGAACATCATCTCATTTGATTTCATTTTTCACCCTTCATCTCCTGCAGTTAAAGGCAATGCAACAGAAGAATTTGAAACCGTATGATTCAACTCTTGCAACCATAGCAATAGGTTGCTGCAAAGCGTTGGAACTGGATTTAGCTGAGGCTTTGCTGGATCAAATTTCCAAAAGCCCTCATGCGCATGCTTATAATGCTTTTCTTGAGGCATGTGACACTCTAGTAAGTCAGCATTATATACCTGAAGCTTCACATTACATTTGTTTCCCTTATTTTATGCCCTCTATTTCTTTTTACTTTCAGCAAGCAAGAATATATAGTGCATATTTTTACATGAAAGATAGAATATGGATAACTCAAGTCCAATGCAGTCCCATTTGACTAGCCAATGAAGAGGTTATATTGTTGTTGATAGTACACATTTTAGGCAAGCAGCAATATTGGAGCCCCCAATGATTACAGTCTTATTCTTTACCAAAGAAAGAAAGAACGATTACTATCTTATCGGAGTGGCCCCAACTTTTTCCTACTAACACTTTAAAGTCAATTGCCTAATGGTTCAGTGCCACTTGAATTCAGATGTTCTTTCTATTAATGTAAAATTATATAGGATCAACCATTTTTTTTTTTAAGTAAATGAATTTCCTTCTAGTCTTTAATAAAAGCTTTACATTTTGTAGGATCAACCCGAACGTGCTGTTCGTATATTGGCTAGAATGAAAGAAATGAAACTCCAGCCAGATATCAGGACATATGAGCTGCTATTTTCATTATTTGGCAATGTGAATGCACCCTATGAAGAAGGCAATATGTTGTCACAGGTTGATGTTGCCAAAAGGATAAATGCTATAGAAATGGATATGGTGAAATATAGCATTCAGCACAGTCATTCATCAATGAAGAACTTGGTAAGTTTCTCGCTCTTCGGTTCTTACTTTTAGTTGACCTCAAATAGTTCTCAATTCTTAAAATAAAAATTTTCAATGGCATTTTTGGTTCAAATATGTACTTTCTCTTTCACATCAACTTGTAAACATTTGTTGAACATTATGGTAATGACTAATGTTGTTAGGATCAGTTTGATGCCGTAGGTAGACAAGGTCTGTTGTCTTTGTATGTAACAGTATTTTACTGGTAAATAGTTGGATCCCTGGGTTTACTAGGTTAAAGTTGTTCATTGTGAATGTGGGGATTATTTGATTGATGACATGTGTACAGACATGTGATTTGAAGCTATAGTTGTGCCATTTTTGACATCTCAACACAGTGGCATGGCATTAATTTATTTTTGGTTCTTCAGTTAAAAGCACTTGGAGCAGAGGGGATGGTGAGGGAGCTCATCCAGTACCTACGTGTGGCAGAGAATCAGTTTTCTCGTGGTTACTCTTGTCTAGGAACACCTACCTATAACACAGTGTTGCATTCACTTGTTGAGGCTAAGGAAGTAGGTCCTGCTATCCGATAAAAGTATATTCTATCAGTTGTTCCACCTAGGTAGTCTTTACATATCAAAAAAAAAAGAGTAGTCTTTATGTTCGTTTGGTCACTAACTTTTTTTTTTTTTTTCGTGCATTGAAATCCAGAGTCACATGGCAATTGAGATTTTCAAATCTATGAAATCATGTGGTTTTCTGCCAGATGCTGCGACTTATAATATTATGATTGATTGCTGCAGCATTATAAGATGTTTCAAATCTGCTTGTGCATTAGTTTCTATGATGGTGCGTGATGGTTTTTCTCCACAGGCAGTAACTTACACATCTCTTATAAAGGTATGCTTAATTGCTTTTCCAACCACGTATGTTTTAAATTAGTCTGCATCCCACAAAATGGTGCTGTCATATGCATCTGACATAAAAAGAGTAGTGTACTTATGATTTTGTTTTGTTTGATTTGCTCTGGTAACAGTAGTGACCCTGCAAATTTGTTGACGCATTTAATTGAAATTTAGACCAATCATTATGCTGAATTGTTTACCAAAGAAAAACATTGTTCTGATACCTTTAAGCTTCTGATTTTAATACTTCTGTTGTAATTTTCACAGTTTAATCGAAAATTTGTGCTAATCATTGAGCTGATTTTTTTGTCAAAGAGATACACTGCTCATGCACATCAGATTGGTATATTTGTAGTTTTTTTTTTTTTTTTTTTGGTTACAAAAAGAAGGGGTCACGCTGGCACCGCAAGTCCCCAGCCCTGGGCTAAGACATTGCTTGAGGCAACGTATAAGGGCATCACGCCAAGGGGCGATGGAGGATCGAACCCGGGTGAAACCGTTTTTGGGCCGATCCCTAACCACTGAACCCACCCCTCAGGGGCGGTATATTTGTAGTTTGAGTGAGAAACCTGCTATTTAAGGTTGCTAAAATTTTAAAAATCTAAAAGTTGAGTTCGATCAAATGGCAATCATTTGGTTATGGCTTTGAATCCAACCAAATCCAGATCTCTATTATAATCATGAACCAACTTAATCCCGCAATTCATGGTGGTGTTGTGAATGGTAGAGGTAAACATTATATTTGACCTGGAATTTTCAGTCTTCATAAAGTGAAACGTATTTGTGTCAGATTCTGTTGGGGAATGGAGATTTTGATGAAGCATTAAATCTTCTGGACCAAGGAATCATGGAAGGGATCCAATCTGATGTATTGTTATTCAACACTATTCTTCAAGGAGCATGTGAAAAGGTATCTTTTCTTAAGAATGACTGAAGTTACCTGTTGTACCGAAACTCTCAATTTCTGTAAGTAAACTTTTTATAGCATAGCATGGCATTGTTTCTTATTATAGCGTAGCATGGCATTGTTGTCTATTACGGTTTTTTTTTTTTTGCATACTATCACTACTCTCTTCTTGCCCCTCACGTTCATGAAGACTGCATTAATTTCCTACTCCATTTTGTATCATATTCCCCCCTTTGATCAAGTGAGAACCAATGTCTCAGCCTACCTCATTCCTTTTTGATGTTGTTGGTGTGTGTGTGTGTTAGGGAAGAATTGATATAATTGAGCTTATTGTTGAGCGGATGCACCAAAAGAATGTCCAGCCTGATCCGTCAACCTGCTATTTTGTGTTCTCTGCATACATCGATCATGATTACATCAGCACGGCTATGGAAGCGTTGCAAGTTCTAAGTATGCGAATGATTTCTGAAGAAGATGGCATTCTTGAAGAAAAGAGAACTGAATTAGAGGAAAGCTTTATCCTTGCTGAAGACTTGGAAGCCGAGTCACGCATTCTCAAGCTTTTCAGAGATTCTCAAGAGAATCTTGCTGTTTCCCTCCTGTATTTAAGATGGTGTGCTACACTTGGGTTCGAGATTTCATGGCTTCCTAACCGAAGTCTATGGGCCAAGAGACTTTCAAGTAATTATAGTTCTAGAGAAGGTGTCGCTGTGAGATGAGGTCTCTGGCTCAAAGCGGCTTTGGAGTTGGCTAAAATTTTGTTGCTGGTTTTGGGGCCAACTCCATCCAATTTTGCGTACTCGTTAATGACGAGCTGCTGGAGATTACAAGTTCTTGTCGTCCTGCTGACAGAAAATTATATTCAATAGTCCTTATAAATGGTCTCTCGTGTCAATTTGGCCCTTGTAGTACCAATTGTAATAATTTTATTTTTTAATTTTTCACATTATGTTAATTTAGTCTAGTTGATGTCACCCGTAAAAAGATTGGACAGAAATCAAATTGGATGTTGACTCAATCACTTTAAGAAGAGCGAATGAACTATTTTGCTCTTGATTTCAGTCTAATTTTTGAAAGGTGTTATTAATTGGAATATATTATCATAATGTGAGAGTTTCAAAATTAAAATTGATGCAACTTTAAGGACGAAATTGACATGCATAGGATATAAGAACTTGTTCTATAGATTTGGCAAAGATAAACACCCCTTTGTTGGGTGGTTGCTTGTATTTTATGTTGTAACTGGCAAGATTACAAGATGTACCTCTGAAGAGTACAAAACATCTTATGTAAGATTATCATGGTAGGTGGCATAGCATGTAAGGTTGTATTTCTTCAATTTTTGGCCCATACTGGTCAGGTGGCAAGAATGGAAGAGCAATTACATGATTGGCTTGCTTTGTTTTTCCTTAGTTACTACTTCCAATCCAAAACAAACCCCCTATTATCACAATGGTTACAAATTTAAACGCAAGGCGCGAAGATTTTGAATCTTAGAATTGTTGAGGAAAAAGAAAATGAAAAAAATTGTGAAATTTTTTTTTACTGTTTCTTTCATTTGCATTTCTTTCTCATTACAAATTTAAAATTCAAACACAACTTTAAAAGGCTAAAGTACTATTGCATCTAAGTTGACATGCTAGCAGTAGTCCAAAAGAGTAATGCTATACAAATTAATAAGTTTTAAAAAAATTAAAAAATGGTGTTGTTATCATATTATTCTAATGTGGTTGTTTTAAAAAATGAAAATTTAAGTAAAAACAAAAAAGTTATTCTATCATATCACTACCTACCATGTCAATAAGCAAAAACATTTTATAAATCATTTTTTAAGCATAAATCTATGTTCTTCTTAAAAAAAAAAAAAAGTTCTATATGACTTCAGGTTCTACTTAAAAATGTTTTAGATCCCTAAATTTTTAAATTTTAGAAACCTAGTCCACTTTTCAAAAAAAAGAAAATGCCCAATATACCCCTTATATTATCAAAAGTTGAGTGGAGTGTGGAGTTTAGGTGACTAACAAAAATGAAGAGCAAGTTTTTTACCTTCAATGCCATGGAGAGGAGTATGAGACACATTTTGATTGATAAAGAAGAGTAGTAGAGTCTACCGTTTTGGGGGGAGACATTACACTTTTTGAGTATGGTGTTCACATTTTTGGACTAATCAAATTTTGTGTATTGTTTGTGAACAAATTCATTTTCTATGGAACCACGGCAACAAAAGTTTCATTCTAAATGTAAGTAGACACCTTCATTATTTGGAAGTAACACGGTAGATATTTAGCATGGAGTTCTCAATTTAATAACAAACCTAAACTCCTACAATAAACTTATATATATATATATATATATATCATGTATAATATGTATATCTAAGCTAATATTCTTAACAAAACACATAATAACTCATAACACAGTAGAGCCTTTAGCCACCATGTGTGTTTGCATTGAAGGCATTGATTACAGTGTGGGCATTTAGGACATAGACTATAGCTTTGTTTTTCATTCCCAGAATAAACCAGTCACTCTGAGCGATTACTTTCCTTCGATTGTTCATTTAGCTGGATATGCAAGCACATTAAACAAGATAAAGAAATAACATCAGTACAATACAATACAATATTTGCAAACAAATATAAACTATACAAGTGATCTAACACCAAAAACACAACATGGCTCCCCCTAAATTCAACAATTTATTTTGTATGCTTATATGATGATATTCATAAGAATGCATAACTTACCATTGAAAATTTTTAGTTTATCCACTTGGAACTGTGGCTTTTCCTCAATTATTTAGAGTAAACATAAGAATGCTCTAGATTTATGTAGAATGGAGATAGAATATCATATGCACAAGCACAACCAATGAGACAAATTCAGGTAATTCCTATAATAGTGGAAGCACCAAAGACCATGACCCCCCCCCTCCCCAAAAAAAATTTGTCTAATAAAAGCTGATACCATCATAGAACAACCAAATACAAATTAGAGTCTGGAAAAACACCCTAAGTTCCTAGGGCACTTGTGTGATTCCCGATTACCACAGAGCTCGGCATATTCTACTCTAAAAATTCAGGCTTATTTTGTACAATACTAGCAAGCCTGAGTCCTTATTTGAAAAAGCCTAGTACGAGCACAGGCACCCCAGCCCAGAATTCCAGTATTAATCAGCTAATGTGGCCTTGACAAACTCAAAGGTAACACTGCTATAAAGGAGTGCATCTCAGTGGCTTATCATACTAAAGATGCTGACATATGCCAAATTATAAAAAAACACTTTTAAAGTCATGTGATATGTCATTTAGGAAGTGATTAATTTTCTGTCTGGTGGAAGATCTATATATATATATTTTACTTTAGAGGTATGCACTTAGTTGTAAAAATTGTTGTTTTCAGTGTCTCTTCTCTTCTCTAAGAAATAATTCTTATCAAACTTCTTGACTGTAATTTAAATTTAACAAAAATATTAATTATTTTTTATTCGTTTTTTTGTTGCTTGTGTCTTAAGAATACTTATTAGGAATAATAACTTGTTTTTAAAGTATATCCTAATAGAAAAATTATTTAGGTAATAAATGTAATATAAATTGTAGTATTTAATTTTAGGGGTAATTGCATCCCAGTGTAATCAAGAAGAAAAAAAAATTACATATTCATGAAAAAAAATTTATAATTTAAATTATTAATATTTATAAAAAATTTCATTGATTTGTAATTATTTTTAAACTCCCACTGATTTAATATTTCCTCTTAATTTTATAATAAATTGATTAGCATTATTATAAAATTAATAAGTCAAAGCTCTCAATATGTAAAAAGTGATTTTTGTTATTTTTGTAAACAAAGTTTTTTTTTATATTTTAACTCAGCAATGGTAGAGGGCCCAAATTTTGTGGCTCAAATGTGGCTCAAATGGCCAAAACGACGTCGTTTTGAGTACAAAACAACATCAAAATGGCCAAAACGACGTCGTTTTGGCCATTTGAGCCACATTTGAGCCACAAAATTTGGGCCCTCTACCATTGCTGAGTTAAAATATAAAAAAAAACTTTGTTTACAAAAATAACAAAAATCACTTTTTACATAATGAGTGTTTTGACTTATTAATTTTATAATAATGCTAATCAATTTATTATAAAATTAAGAGGAAATATTAAATCAGTGGGAGTTTAAAAATAATTACAAATCAATGAATTTTTTTTATAAATATTAATAATTTAAATTATAAATTTTGTTCATGAATATGTAATTTTTTTTTTCTTCTTGATTACACTGGGATGCAATTACCCCTAAAATTAAATACTACAATTTATATTACATTTATTACCTAAATAATTTTTCTATTAGGATATACTTTAAAAACAAGTTATTATTCCTAATAAGTATTCTTAAGACACAAGCAACAAAAAAACGAATAAAAAATAATTAATATTTTTGTTAAATTAAACACACTGAATAGCATTATTTATCTAAAAAGACACCTATCTATCCAAATACTTATTTATTTGTTTATCTGTTTAAGTATCACTTCTATCTAAATGTCGTCCAACTATTTATCCAACCCCATTGCCACCAACTCTCACCACCAACCATCCCTGCCAAAATGACTATTGATCCAATCCAAAATTCTTTTAAAAAAAAAGACAAATGCTAACAAGTGCCCTTATGCATTCTTTAATGTTGGGAATTGAGCAAAAAGTGTCTTGAAAATATATTAAAATATTAAAAAATATATATTAATTTCAATAAAAGTACACTTAATTTAGTAAAAAGCGTATTGTGTTATTCAATTCTTTTGTCTTTTACTTGCATACTAAGGACACTTGTTAACCAGATTCAAAAAAAAAGAAAAGGGCGACATATCTGAACTTCCATTTTTTTTACTGAAACATATATGAACATGAACTGCATACTTGTGACACTAGTGTTTTATTATTTTAGATTTTCAAACGTCCTCAATAAATTTCAGAGATGGTTTAATTTACTAACCACGCATCAAAGGTGGTCTTTTCAGGTTCCTCTTTTGCTAAACAAGAAAAAAGAAAAACAGGTGGTCTACTTCCTTCAGTAATTGGTCATCCAAGATTTGGGCTTTTACATGATGTAATAAAAACTACACCAAACATTGAAATATAAGCCCCGATGACAGTTCTCAGTGCTACAATTAGTTGATTTGTTTAATTGCTGTTAACTGGATGCTTAAATGTTCTCGGCTGGAGGTAACTCGGCAAGCTTTGGCGGAGTGCCAAGTACTCGTTCCATATCAAAACGAACTTCAATGTTGCGAATACCGTACCCAACTACCATCAGCCAATAAAGCAGTTTGGCAAGTTCTGGTGCACTTGTCTCTGTTGCACTCGTCTGTAAACCACAGATAACAAATCTCAATAATGTCAGCAAAAGAAATTGAAAGTTGGTCTTCAAAGAGGTAATAGTCAATTATATGATACTCGGTCAAGCAAAGAGGTTATTTTTTGAGAACAAAAATTTTTAAGTCCAATGCAAATAAGTTATCAGTCATATATATTCATATATAAGATCATCTACCATGCTATTTCAATCATGTAAATGCATAATTTACCCTGCTATAGTGTCAAAATATCTGATATTTTGAGAGATCTGCTCCAGCAGTGCATATGTTATTTTTTAAGTGGTTTTGAGTTTATTGACACTATAATAATATTTCAGTTAGTGTTTTTCTATCTAGGCTGGTCCGACATTCACTCTACTATGTGGAGGCTTTGCTTGTGAGGAAATGTGAAGATGGACCAAAATTGAAAGTCAAACTTTGGCATCAAGAATGTGTCAGATAGATGGGCTAAGAGAAAAGGAAGTTGATTATTTTCCCCTTGAAAGTGAAAAGCAAGAGGATAATATAATTGTACACCTTCATTTGTCCAGGATCCGTAACAGCCAAGAGGCGTTTTATGAACGTGTTCATTGCCAGCACAACGTCCTCCCCAGCACTACTTGTTAATTCCTGCATATAATATTGGGCAAGAAATTAAAATGCATAATAGGCACTAAAGGCTGGTTCACAAAATAACCACAGCTCCATGTCCAGAACTACCAAGCAAAACAAAGTTACAAGTTATTCTGGCAAAACTAGGGAAAGTGGGAGGTATTGACAGCACATGTAAATCAAAATGGTTTGGGCAAGTATGTTTGCCATATCCACATATAAGGCAAAATGATAAAATATCATAATCGTAGATGTTCAGAACTCTGCCCATAGAAAGGTAAGGAGTTCTTGTACCTTAAGATTTTGGGGCTGAAGAGACCTGAGATATTCCAGCAATTCATTCTGTCCATTTGCAGATTTTCTTCCTACTTCTTGATGCAGTTCCTCAATTTCTGCTTCAAGTAACTCAATATATTTCACTGCATCTATCTTCTCAGGACCAGAAACATTATTCCACCTAATAACTTCACCCGACACTTTCTTTTGTGTACCTGGTGCATAATCTGGCACATCCTGTATGGTCACAAGACCAAGTCAAAAACCCTCATCAAATAAGAGTTGAAAGACAAGCCATAGTACTTTAGTGTGCGATAATAGATAATATGGAAAAATGACCCAATTTGCTATATTTTTTTTCACTAATTACATGACTACCAACAACACAATTGCATCAGATATAAGGAGATGTAAATATAACAGTCAACAGTATTTGAGATCATGACAACATAATAGACATACAACTCACCCAAACATTATACATTGCAAACATACCCACCGAAACCAGCTATGGTCAATGAAAAGTGAAACCATAGTGGTGAAAAGGTAACAGCAACAAGGTTTCTATCACGTCTCATGCAAACATCATAAGAATATCAAAAACCTTACATAAACAACCTAGAATTTATTTCAATGTGTTAGGCTACAACATCAATACACATCATCTGAAACTCCTTGCAAATAGCATGCAATCAACATTAATCACAGGCATTCTGGTGAAAAGAGTTATATTTTGATCCTGTCAAAATAATACCTGTGTTATTATTTACGAAGGTACATTCAACATTAGAATATAGGGGAAGAAAATGATGTTCAATGATCCTAAACTTAAATTTTACTACATGATTTCTGCCATGCACATTATGTAAATGCTCACCAAATTGGAACAGGCATTTAAACCCACACTCTTGCCAGCTTCCTCATGTTCCTTTGTCAAATAAAGAAGAAATCTAATTGAGTTTATGTTCTCGGGGCCATAAAAGCCCACAGGTACAACATGGTTGGGTTAGTGTTGAATTACGACCAACCTTAGAACCCTAAAATGGTTCTCCATGTTGCAGCCCATAACCAACTTATAGAACATAAGAAGCCAAGAATTGTCTTCCCAAATGGTGGAATCTGTCTGTGAAACCAATAAAAGGAAAGTAATTTTTATTCATCAATACATATAGTGACATTCCACTATTTGAGGGGTTAAATGGAAATGGTGGACAAGGGAGGGAAGGAAAGTTAGCACTTTAATGTTCTATTTGGTTCATTGGAATGAGAGGGAATGGAATAGAATGGAGTGGTGATTCCTTAAGCTTTCTTATGAAATGATCATTCCCTTAAAATGGTGTAAGATGATTCCATTTGTAAACTCTGGCACCACAATCAGAACTTTTCTAATTCTGAATACAAAACAAGTACAACTATGATGCCTTCTCAATAATTAAATTACAAAGAGAAAGGGAAAAAAGGATAATGAATGAACTCACTTCCTTATCTTGCACCTCAGGAAGAGCAACTTGTTCCAAACTTCGTTGCAATTCCAACCGATATTGTGCATTTCTAAACATATATCCAGTCATCAAAACACTATACATGAGCTGTGCAAGATTTTCTGCAACCTGAACAAATGCCAAAGGATCAAATTATACCTAACTTGAAGATTGACATCCATCAAACTAGAATTGATGCAAACCAAAATTCAATCAGCTTCAACCAGTGGTCAACTTTGAATGAAAATGCAAGCCTACAAGGTTGTACATACTTACAGTGGTTACTGTAACTGTAAAGAATTGAGGGGGTAGTGTTCCAATCATATTTGCTACCGTTTGGCGCATAGCATCAACTACCTAAAGAAGACACCATTGAAAACAAATAGAAAAAAGTTATAAGTGTGCCCCCTCGATAAGGTTACAAATTACTCTAGTGCAGCAAAGAATGTTGAAACCTGCTGGGGTGCCCTTTTCACAAACAACTCCATGAACTCTGGCTGCACGCTTTGGACATATTCCAATAGAATTTCCCTCCTGCTCTTCTTCTGTTTTTATTTTTAAAAAAGAATGTCAGAACTTCTAACCATCTATAACTCTTATGGTGTGTTTGGTTGGAGGATTTTGGGAGGGATTTGGAAAAGGAAAGGGAAAAGATGTGTGAAACTAGGTGAAATTTAGACATGTTTTATTCATATTTCACCTACCTTTTCCATTTCCCTTTCCAAATCCCTCAACCTAAGAAGCACGGACACTTCTAAGAAGGTGACGTATCCGTGTCATGTCCGTGTCGGACACCGACACTCTTTGGACAGTCTTAGGACACGTGTCCGATACTCTTCAAAATGTGTCCTATTTTTTAAATATTTTTAAAGACCCAGACGCTCTTTGGACACTTGGAGGACACACGTGTCAATTGTTTAAACACATGTATCTATTGATTATACATATGTGAAACTAATTATAAGTTTGAACAAAAACAACTTAAGATACAATAATAAAACAAAAACCATATAAATTTATAGGAAATAGTGTTATATTGCATTTTTTATTATCTTTGAATGATATTCATATATATAATATATAATAAATATATAAAATTATATATTTCATGCGTGTCCTCCACGTGTCGTGTCCTGCATTTTTTTTAAAATTAACGTGTCGGCGTGTCCGTGTCGTATTCGTGTCGTGTCACGTGTCCGTGTCCATGCTTCTTAGCCCTCAACCAAACACAACATTAACGCTGTGTTTGGTTGGGAGATTTGGGGAGGGATTTGGAAAGGGAAAAGGAAAAAGTATGTAAAACTAGGTGAAATGTAGGTACATTTTATTCACATTTCACCTAACTTTTTCCTTTTCCTTTCCAAATCCCTCCTCAAATCCTCTAACCAAACACAGCGTAAGTGAAATGTAAGTATATTTTATTCACATTTCACTTATCCTTTCCATTTCTCTCCTCAAATTCCTCAACCAAACACAACGCTAGGGTATATGTCACATGTCCGTGTCCATGCTTCTTAGCCCTCAACCAAACACAACATTAACGCTGTGTTTGGTTGGGGGATTTGGGGAGGGATTTGGAAAGGGAAATGGAAAAAGTATATGAAACTAGGTGAAATATAGATATGTTTTATTCACATTTCACCTACCTTTTTCATTTCTATTTCCAAATCTCTCCTCAAATCCTCCAACCAAACACAGCGTAAGAAATATTCGCCAAAGCCAATTTTAACAAGGACTCAGTTATAGAATTTCCAATAATTAAAGAAGTAGAATGCTAATTTTGTTTCGACTAGTATCATAATCTAGAAAATAAGGAACTATTCAATTTGGAGGAAATCCAAACAGGCACTCGAAATTCAAGCAACTTTGACTTATCGTAGTTCAACCTGTTCACAATTTTTTCATTTTCTTTTTTGTTTGGTTTCAAAAGCACACTTTTCTTGTGTTCTTTCAACAACAATTTGAAATATGTTTCCATTTACACATCCCTACCCTACTCACCCTCTCCACACAATGTAATATTTCCAGACGAATGAATGTAATGATCATAGTGATACTAAAAATGTTTGGACACACATTTTCCAGTCAACAAAACAAATTGCTCAAAAAAAATAAAGCTCGTTACATTAAAAACAGAAACAAAACCGCAACTTATATGATTCTGAAGCAGTGAAATTGACCTAATTTTACTTTCTTTCATTGTTTTGCTCTATTCTTCATCACTAACAAAAGCATCAAAGCCACTAACATTGCAGTCATTACCAATTGTACATACAATTCAAATAAATGAAAACAAAATAACAAAAAAACAAACTATCCACATCAATTATACATATACGTCTACAGAGAGAAATAAAGGAAGTACCAGAGTGCCGTTAGGGGGTTTGTGATTGCTGGCATTAGAATTGTTATTATCGTTGTTGTTCTGGGAAGAAGAATTGTAAGAATGAGCTCTCAAAGTGAATCTTCCTCTATTGTTTATCGTTCTTGGAAAGCTGATTGAAGAACACAATCGATTACTTCGACATGATACGAGAACTGGCGAAGAAGATTGTGATAGGAATGAAGGTTTCACTGACAACGACAACATTTGCAATCCCTTGAAATCAAAGTTTTTTTTTCTCTCTAAAACCCCATCATCCGGTATCACAGTGAAGAGAGCTACGAGAAGTTATTTGGCGGTTTTGAAACACCGCCCCAAACGGTGGTGTTGTGATTAGTGGAGATCATGGAGTACGATTTTGTGTGGAATGTTTGGGATTGGTTGGTGATTTATGAAGGGATTTGAAAGAAGAAAAAGGTGACTTGTGTTTGGTTAAGAGTTTTGGTAAAGAAAAGAAAAAAAAAGTGTGCGAAATGGGTGATGCTGTGGTACATTTGATGTATGAGTTATGTGGATATATATTTTATATTATAATTAATAGGGAGATTTATCAATAAATCCTAAAATTTGAATTTATGTACCAATTAGTCCCATTTTTATTCTATTAAATCGTTTAGTCCCATTTAATTGTGAGGGACATAATTACCCTCATCTGACCGTAAGACACACACAGATACACACATACATTGTGAGGGGCAGACATACACACACAGATCCACACATACAAACACATAGACACACACACACACACAGATACACACACAGACACACACACACACACACACAGATACACACACAGACACACACACACACACACAGATACACACACAGACACACACACACACACACACAGATACACACACAGACACACACACACACACACAGATACACACACAGACACACACACACACACACACAGATACACACACAGACACACACACACACACACAGATACACACACAGACACACACACACACACACACAGATACACACACATATTATCGTTGTTGTTCTGGGAAGAAGAATTGTAAGAATGAGCTCTCAAAGTGAATCTTCCTCTATTGTTTATCGTTCTTGGAAAGCTGATTGAAGAACACAATCGATTACTTCGACATGATACGAGAACTGACGAAGAAGATTGTGATAGGAATGAAGGTTTCACTGACAACGACAACATTTGCAATCCCTTGAAATCAAAGTTTTTTTTTTCTCTCTAAAACCCCATCATCCGGTATCACAGTGAAGAGAGCTGCGAGAAGTTATTTGGCGGTTTTGAAACACCACCACAAACGGTGGTGTTGTGATTAGTGGAGATCATGGAGTACGATTTTGTGTGGAATGTTTGGGATTGGTTGGTGATTTTTGAAGGGATTTGAAAGAAGAAAAAGGTGTCTTGTGTTTGGTTGAGAGCTTTGGTAAAGAAAAGAAAAAAAAGTGTGCGAAATGGGTGAGGCTGTGGTACATTTGATGTATGAGTTATGAGGATATATATTTTATATTATAACTAATATTATATAGACTTGTGTATGTCATGCACGGTGTAAATAATGTTCGGTATAAATAATGATAGGATTAAAATGTAGATATAATTTCTACATATAATGTCAATTAATTAATTAATTTAATGCATCCTTAACATTTAATTAATCATGGGGAACATGAATATATTAGAAACACTGCCACCACACATAAACTAATTTTGTTTGAATAATTGTAGGTATCATTAAAATTTAGGAAAAATTAACCAAAAAAAAAAACTTAAAATTTAATACTTGTAACAAAATAAACTATTGAGCTTTTAATTTTATAAATTTAAATATTAAATTTCTAATTTATTTTCAATCTAAACTATTTGCATGTTTTCAATCTAAACAATCTGAGTTCGTTTACGTATTTTACTAAATAATAAATAAATACCATTAACAATCCAAGCAATTTGTCGGTAGGAAGAAGAAACCATCAGTCATTTGCGGGGTCTGTCTTTCACATATTTTTTTTGCATTCTTATTGAAAAAAATAATAATATATCAATACAATTTGCATTCCTATTGAAAAAAAATAATAATATATCAACACAATTTGCATTCCTATTGAAAAAAAATAATAATATATCAACACAATTTGAATAGCACATAAAATAAATAAAGATGTGATAGCGGCCAAGCATTTGAATGCGCAACACAATTAAGAAAATCGACCACTATCTCTTTTCTTACTCTGTTTCTTTTCAATTTTTTCACCATGTCTTCAACAGGGATGAAGAAATAATCCATAAATTATGAGTGAAAATTTAAATTGGGTTATAGAAATAAAATAAAATGAAACAAAAATAATGACCAATGAGAGACATGCGGGTTGAAGACCAAAAAATAAAAAAGAAAATGTTAAGACCCAAACCAATGTCAACAGCCCCCACAAACCAATGTCAAGACCCTCACCTAACAACACAAAAAAGAAAAACAAATATATATCTAAGGTTTAGAAACACCAACCCAAATACATAACTTAACACCAACCCATATAAATTGAAGATGCATAAATAAAAAAATAAAAAAAGAAACAGAACACAAAAAAAGAAAGAGAAATCCAAATACATATCAGTTTAAGGTTTAAAAACACAAATCCAACACAAACACATCAGTTTAAGATTTAGAAAAACAAATACAAATCCAAATCTTAGAAACACAAACCCAAATTGATGGGTCTCTTTTGCTTTGATTGAAAAGAAACATAATGATTTTCAATGCTCTGTTCCAATGCTTTGTGTCTCTTAAGCTTTGTTTCCAACTTTTTTTGTGGTTCCATTGAATGCATACCTAATCACACAAAACCAAACAGAAATCTTAGAAACACAAACACAAATCGAAATCAAAATCTTAGAAACACAACCTAATCAACAACAATATATATAAAAAAAAATAATAATAACACAGATCCAACACAATGAAACATTGCTGTTCACGATTTATAGACATGAAACCATAATCAACAATATGACATGGTAATCTATATAACAAAAGAAACAAAATCTGATTCAAACATAAATTCAAATAAAGAGATAATTTGTCCTCTTAATTTCTAAAAGTACACAACTGATACACTAATATGGAACCAATTAAGGCCATAAATAAGTTGCCCACAGCAGAAGTTTCTAAATGGGAAGACTTGCAACTTATTATGATTATACCACATGTAAACAGATACATATAATTGTTTTACATATTTGATAATACATTCCGATATGTATTAAAACTTCATAAAATGGATACTTAAATCATTTCATTAACAGGCTTAGATTTAGTGCACATTCATACACATTTATCAAAAGAAACACCACAAAAAAAATGTCAATTCTGTCCATTTTCTCAAATAACCTATACCCCACAGCCCTTTATTTTCCTATTACATAATCATCTGACGATAAGTGCAGTTTAAAACTATTGAATTCACAATATAATATTATGCTTAATCACTTTCTACTTCTTCTAATTCTCAACCTTCTCTCGGACCTAATACATTTTTCAGGACGACTATTCGGGCCTGTCTTTCTAGTTCTAAATACACGAAATATTGTAGAATTGAGCTGCACCATGTACAAAAATATGCATGAGGGAGGAGTACGTGTGTGTGTGAGAGAGAGAATGCCAAAATTTGGCAAGAGCTCATCTCTCTATTCTCTAATGACAGAACCCTATTTGTCAACAAAGCCATTGTGATATAAGCTAATTGTTATTGTTGTTGTAGTTCTTTTTCAACGCTAATTGTTGAAGTGTAAGGAAAATTCACCTAAATACAGCTGAACAAACATTAATTAACATGAATTTCAACAAATTCAATTCAAACAACATGAAAATGACACCACATTTTCAACTCAAATTAGAAAGTAAAATAATAAAGTGAGAGAAAACAGTGTACATGGCAATTTATCAGTTGAAGAATTTTGATGGGTGTTTCCATCCTTGGGTTTGAAGAACCCTCCCAAATCCATCTTCCTCAACAATTTTTAGAGAGAGAGAGAGGAGAGAGAAGAAAATACCTAAATTTAAAGGGCAACCAACGCCGATACATAATCATACATATATATACATCAATCTCTGAAATTATATACAAACATCCATATATAATACACACAATCGTATCTAATACACACAAATTAAAGTCAGTACACCTTGTTCAAAAAAAAAAAAAAGTCAGTACACAAATTAGGACAAACTGTTTTAAACTAAGATCAGAAGAAAAAAAATTGTCTTAAAATGGCTTATTCACACAAATTATCTTAATAAAACATCAAAAAAAATAATAACAAATGCGAGCCAGAACCAATATTGTCTAAAACAGAATATAAATACAGAAGAAGCCCATTACTTCTGTTATTTCAAAGAATCTGAATTTATAAACTCCAAACTGTCATAACTAAGTTAAAAAACTGACACTATAAAAATCATATTCTTAATTCAATCCAAATCTCCATACCAATTGTCAGAAATATATGTTTTCTTCTAACTGGGCTTAACAAAACTAACAAAATCACGTAAATTAATGATACAAAAAGATGGAAGAAAAAAAAAAAAGCTGTTCACGATTTAAAGAAACAAAAGAAACCATAATCAACAGTATGGCATAGTAATCTATATAACAAAAGAAACAAAATCTGATTCAAACATAAATTCAAATAAAGAGATAATTAATTTATATGCTTGATTTTCGTGTAGTTCAAAATGCTGTGTGATTACTATACACAGCATGCAATTATTGTCTCTACAATATGCTTGTCATGTATGTTTTTATCTGTTTGAGCAACAAATTTTAAAATTATGCATGCTTGCATTTTGTATCTTCCCAAAATCATAAACTCATATTATTTGTATCTACAATTATTGTCTCTACAATATGGTTGTCATGAAAAAATTTTCCCATTCGATAATCTTTAGGACTGCAACTTGACTACTGTAAAGATTGGTGTCGATTAACACAGTCTGTCCATCAATACCTCGCTTCCTAACATAAGGATTTAAAGTAGATAAAACTTTTAAATAAATTCTGAAAATTACAGAAAAAGGTGGAGATCTTGGAAGATATTCATAACCATGAGTGAGAATTCTGAATTCTAAAACTTTTGATAAGTTTTGGTCAGAAAGAGCAATACTGAAATTTGGATATATATCAAAATATACTGGACCATGGGCTAAACTGGTTTCCATAGCACCCATAAGTGATGCTCTCCAATTAGTACACCTACTATCCCGTAGAGTACACTGAATGCTAGAATTTTGACCGAGGAGAGTCAAAGGTTTTAAAGCAATCTGGACAAGTCCTATATGAATATATTTATATTCTTTGGAAAAGGGCATTAGATCCTGGACACTTAGCAAATACATTAGTGTATCATTATTATTTACTGGAGCGGCATGTTCAAAGGTTTTAATAATCTTTTTACTGAAAAAATTCAAAGTACCGATCTTATAGATGGCCTTTGGATCTACCTTCGGGATTGTCCATTTGTCTAGGGCTTCTTTGACTTCCTGGTTGGCTACAAGCTCTCTGGCTTCAGATGTAGAGGCTTCTGTTTCAGCTACTGAAGGGGCTACTGTATTTTCTTCTGAGGGAACAATACTCATTTAATGGTATGTGACCATATATGGATAATTAATAATTAATAAAACAAACTATTAAATACATTAAACATGGCTCTGATACCAATAAAAGTGCTCGACACAGGGGTAGACTAAGCACGTCTGTCAACGACTTATGCAACCAAAAAGTCCTTACCGCTAACCGCTTGACGGACACTGGAGCTACGCGACTTGGGTGACGTCCCACTCAGCCTCACACTATGCTACCTCTCAATGGCACAAATCCAGGAATAACATCTAAAATAGTTGTATTTTATTTAAACTTAATTACCTCATATATGGTCTATGAAATTACTGTGCTGGAGGAGGAGGCCGATTGGCCCTTGCCAAAAGGCAAATTTGTTCGTTAATTAAATTCTGGATATGATTTATTTTATTAATACACTCTTCTAATTGTTCTTGTGCCCAATTATCATTACGAGTTACTGCAATATAGTATTCAATATTAATTTTTCTATTTTTCCAGATTTCTAATATATCATTCAAAATAACAAGTTGATATACAGACATACATTAAGAAGAGAAAGAAATACTTACAATCAAAACGGCAAACTTTATTATTATTATGCTTCAAACTTTTACAAAGGAAAACACCCTGAAAATAGAAAGAGGGAGAGAATATCAAACTTAGAAAAGAAAATTTCGTGGTGCCATCCACAGACCAGAGGCAACCAATTTATATTACAAAAGAAAATATAATGAAGACAGGTGGCGTGTGCTGAATGGTTATGCAGTCGGGCATCCTTATCTTCTTATCTTCAAATGTCGGCAAAGAGGAATAGCTGGAAAAGTGGCAGATAATGGGAATCTGCTTTTTCAAAGTTGGTTCGTCTGTAGT